AAAGCCGTGCTCTTCGCTAGGCCTTACCGGGCAATTCGAGCCTCGCTAACCGGCCGCCATGGTTAGCGAAGGGAATAGTCAAATTGGACAAACTACTTTTTGACTACGTGTGGGTTTGTCATTCTTACCCTGGGGGTCATTATATTTGGAACAATTTTTACCAGCCCAAACGTAGTCACATGTGACTATCTTTTTTCTTAGAGTGTTTTGCGACGAAGTGTTATCAAAGGCAGAATGCTTGCGCTGGCGGCGGATCATGTACTGCATTCGTAGTGCATCAGCGAATCAAACTTAGGAAGGGGATGGAAGGGGGCAGGGGTTGAAATAGGGGTTTAATATTACATTGTGATCAATTTAAAGCCTATTTGTTCTTCAAAAAAATATCAAAGACCAGTGAAATTTACCCCTAAAGTGTCAAATTCCTTGTCACCGTTGACATATCGCTTCAGAGCCAGCGACCTCTTTTCTTGGATTCTTATTCGCATCTTTCACGACCTATAGGAGGCGAACTGGTGCCCATGAAAAGGGCTGTCATCTGGATGATCGTCGTTGAATAGCAGGACGAGGTAGGCTCTGCGACGCGTAATTCTAGTTTTGTCGGAACTACGAGCGATATAAGTGTCTTAATTGGTGCTCTACGTCAAAAAGATATAAGCATGCATCTTCATAGTGAAGCTTATCATTCAGGAGCTATAAAGAGCGACTCTCACACCGCGGTACCATCATTGCTGAGAGTTGCAAATTATATGTGCCATCACATTTTGTAATTCTCTGCATGTCTTGAAAATACGTGCCATTCAAGTTTGAAGACACCCCACCACGGGGTAAAATTTATTGTCACTTTCATCGACTGAGATTATCTGATCGGTAGATCAGCGTGCTCCACTTCTGGCGCATCGTGGTGCACGTTCGATGCTTGTAGTCAGGATTACGAGTTGATTCGCCGATCACGTAATGTCAGCCGATGGAGCTTACATTAAATGTTACCGTGTGGAATACCCACCGAAATGTTTTGCCGACCCAAACTAACTATGTTTTCGGAATACCTCAGCTTTACACTTTCCGTATGCCGTTTAGTATCTCTATATTTAGAATAGCTATTGAGAAAACTTCAAATGAAGGGGAGACCAAATGCAGCTTTAAAATCTTCTGCATTCCAGCGGCGCGAGATATTCTCTTTGCTAGACCGTCTATTCATGCCTGGAATGCAGGCAATGTAAAAAACAGTATATTGATTATTTCTTCTTTTTATTTTGTGAGTGTGTGTGTGTGTGTGTGTGTGTCAGGGGGGGGGGGGGGGCGGGGGCGCTATTGACTGAGTGCTAAACTGAGCTTCCACAACATTCGTTTCACGCGCTTAAACGTTTTGTAATGTCTTCGGAACAATTCCGGACTACACAAGCACACAGTCCGCGCCTTCAACTTGCGTCACTTTCTTTCGTTGTCAGTAGAGACTCCTATTTCTAAAAAAAAAAAAAAAGTTATGGGGAAAATAAATATGAATTAAGCTCTAAAAAAACTCAATTTGACGTAAATTTAGAGTGACCACTTAAGCCAAATCTATTGATGTGGTTAGCTAATCTTAAATCAAATTTGGCATTACTCTGTTTCTTAACCGCCACTGCTACCACACAGCGTAAGGCTTAATTAGTTAAAACATTTCCACAAACTAAATGTACAAAAAAATACGCTGCCAAAGTGCGGAAATAATGTGCATCATGGAGGACTATACACTCTACAATCAGATGAAGGCAGTCGCTCACCAGTCAGCTAGCTGTGTTCGGAGATTTCTGTTTGTCCTTTGTCCCTCTCCAGGGACCACTTTCGTTATTCTTGTCCAGCTCGCTTGCACCTTTGCATTTAATTGCATAATAAAAGGCAGTTAAGCCGTCTTCGTACGTTTACCATCGTCGGTTAAACCAATCAGGAACAATAAATAAGCCGGTATACTGCTTTTTTCTTTCTATGCGCGACTGGTTAAACCGGTGATAGCGAGCACACAAAGGCGTCGAGTGCCTGAAATGACGGTGCACTTTTGGCGCTGCTTCATAGAGAGTTTTAAGGAACCGTATCGGATGTGGAAAAACGGTTCCCTAAAACTCCCCATTGACTCCGCCGGATTGTACCGTTAGGTGGGGTCGGACCTAATAGAGAGATTTAGAAGAGCTTTCTCATACCTCCGATATCCCCGATAACGATATCCGATAACGATACGGTACATACGCAAAGGCGGCGGCGGAGTATAGGGCATCGTTATCAGAGTCATCGGAACAATCTGCCAAAAACTCTCTAATGTGAAACGGAGTATTGTGCGCGGCCAAAAGCGTCGCTGTGGTCAGCTTTCCACGATTAGCCAAACCATGGGCATATGAGCACTGTCAGATTGTCAACTTTGACGGTGTTAGTTCCAGATTGCGATGGCTCCTAGCTTTTACTGTGCTTTTTAAACACACCATCGAACTCGTCGTCGCACCCGATGGTAAGTAGCCAGAATAACAACTGGTGACGTCACGGCGAGGCAAATCCCAGTCGTGACGTCACGGAGGGAAACCATAAGAGGGCGCCACCGAAACATCTCGGCGCTAATAGCGTTTCACAATCTTTCATTCGGTGAACGTGTGTACGAGTCTCTGAAAATGATCGGTCGGCATTAATCCGGAGAGATTTTGCTCCGGTGAGCTTAGGTCGTTGCGCTTTTATCCAGTCACGCCTTTCTGCGCCGTCTATACCCATTTGCATTCAATTTTTGTTTTTTGGAGGGATCATTGAATCGATTAATCCTATTACGTAATTACCTCGTTATGCTCACATTTTGTATAAAAGTAACGATCAAGTGAAGTAATGCGGAGATCAAGTCGCCTGCTGCTTGGGCAGGAGTTGCGGTGATTTCAGAACGACGTCAAGCTCTTATGGGCTGATTGAAAGAAAAAAAAAATAGTGAGTAGATCTCAATGCTAGATGCTTTAAGCTCTACCCACTATTTTTTTTTCTTCAGTCAGCCAATAAGAGCTCGGCGTCGTTCTGACGTCACTGCAACTCCTACCCAAGAAGCAGACGACTTGCTCTCCGCGTTGTTTAAATATGCTTTGGAATCAATTTTGTTTGATGCTTTAGTGCAGCAAAAATGTTTTGGTGACCATTACATAATAAATGGCAAAGTACGGCGACTCTCGTAACTACATGCACCCTAGAACGTAAAAATCCATTGTGTCTGACGACCTAAGAAAGGCCAGGCGTCACATACTGTCTTCCGACTTCTTGATTGGTCACTCGTTATTCGGGGTTCCTAATGCCGCAACTTCATTGGCTGCGGAGACGTAATGAGATGCCCAGAATTCACCACGCTCCGCGTTTTTTAGACTGTCAGTAATTCCACACTCTACCTGCCTGCGCGTCTACTTACTGCAAAACACTCGAAGAGCCAATCTCTGCAAACTACGAAAATAGTTCAGAGAATGATGAGGTGGAACATCAGTTTAGACCTCAAAATGAAGTCTGCGTTGTGGCATTACGGAATGCAAGCATGATGCATTGCATTGTGTAATGAGTGTTTTGAGGGTAACTAGACGCGCAAGCATTTCTTAGAGTGCACTTTGCATTTGCACAGTCTTCTGAGAACGAAGGTACCGCAACTACAAACAGGTGTCGGTAAAAGTAGCTGCGAGCTGCCTCATTCCACGAAACCCTTTTGGCATCTAAATTGCTCGGAATGCTGTTTCGTTCGACGCCCGCCGACATCCCCCTGGGGGACCCCACATACCTGGAAACGCGCGAGAGTCAAAACGAAGGCACGTGCAGACAGCAGCACGGACTGTTTGGACATACTTTACGGCGAAGAGTTGATCTGCCCTTGAGATGTGTCGATACCAGTCCGGTACTGTAGAGGTGTAATTGAGGGCGCGGTGCGCCCCCCCCCCCCCCCCCTTCCATATAGCCAGGAGTCATTTCATCTTCAACCGCTGCTGTACTTATGGTTGCCGACAGCTTAGGAAACGTAGAACGTGGCCTATTATGTTCACGCTTGACAATCCCCTATTTCGGCTTCCGCACTGTTATCGGCCAATATCGCATATCTCACTGGCCGTGGAATGATAGGATACCCGGGACACAGCTATTGTCTTTCTCAAGCTGTCCGCGGTGACAAGTGTATTGAATAAACGGTCACACGTCGGTCAAATAACTGTTCATCTCTAAGCGGAGGTGTTTTGACTCAGTATCCAAGGTGGCTCAAACTCCGCTTTTCTAGAAAGATACAAGCGTCGACATCTGCGCAGAAGTAAAGCGCAGATTTACAGCTAACATGCCACGAAGAGACACATGGTGTCTGGTACGCAGAAGTACGCACGTAAACAAGCACCGAATCAAAACCAGGAGAGAATACGACGCAGAGCCAATTGCTAAAGAGAGACAACAACTTTCAGCCCAGAAAAAAACAAACAGCCGCCGAGCTAACACGACGCAACAAATTTATGCACTTAAAGTGCGCGAACCAACAATCTAACCAACAGACGCCGAGTGGAAAATTACGTGAAGCTTCTTCGGAGCGAACGCGAGGATATCAGCGACTTCTCAGGAACCACTTGAAGACGCAAACAAGCCCCTCGTCGTGATTATTCGGCGAAACCTAAATGAGGAAAAAGCCCGGGTGACAACGCACACACATCAGCGCGCACTCTCTCCAACATGGCGAGCAAAAATTGCGGCGGGGTCCAGCCCACGTGACGAGGAAAGCCCCTCGACTACCGAGATGGAAAAAAGTAGGAGAGACCCCCCGCCATGTGCGCTCGGTTTTTACTCGGCGAGCAGGGCCCTTCTCTCCCCGGCGCCCTTTCAAAGACGTCCACGGCGGAAACCGGCCCTCGGCCTCGTCGCCCCAGCGTCCCCGAAACAATCCCTGGGAAAGTCGAGGATCCCGAGTAAGTGGGCGTCCGACGACAGCGCTCGTCGTCGCAGGCGCGCAGTGACCAGCGCCGGGACGTCGCTGGGGCTGAAGGGAAGCGATGGCGGGACCCCGCCGTGTCCTGCTGCTGGTGACCGCACTGTTGTTGTCCGTCCTCCGCTGTGCGCGCGCTATCGACATCCGACCCGTGCTGGAGGATACGTCGCCGGCCGCCAACCGCTCCTTCCTGCAACGGTACCGCAACGAGAACGGATCGCGAGGCTCCAACGACGAACTGGAGGCGAGCGTGATCGAGCTGTGGCAGATGTATGACGAGGGCCTCCGGGGCCAGGTGGACAACCTGTTGCGCCAGGCGCTGCCGTATTTGCTGGAGATCGGCGACGTGGGCATCGACATCCGCTGCGCCGAGTCCCTGCTCAAGATCGTCTTCGGGCTGCGGAAGCTCGAGAAGTGGGCCTTTCAGCGTGAGTGATATCGCCACGACAGTCAGTAGTCGTCTCCTTCGCTTGCCCGGAAAACGCGGGGGAAATCCTTGGTCATGGACAGCCCGGTGCCGAGACGCAATTCACAGGCTCGTAAAGCTTACCGGGCAAATATTGTCACAGGCAGAAAGAGAACGACAGGGCTTTCCTGTCCGATACCCGTCCTCCAGAACGCGCCCCATCCCTTCCGCCTTGCTTTGGCTGCTCACACTCGAAGCCGAGGAGGCGCCGAAGAGTCATCGAATATAGGATGCTCGCGCGGGAGGCGGGACAACTGGACCTCCTCCCTGCCGTTCTGATTCTGTCAGTGACTAGAAGTAAAGTCTGCTCTAACTCTTCGCGAGTAACGAATAGAAGAGGAGGTCGTCAGAGCATGAAATCTCATTCTCACAGTACGTTTCATTGCCTTTGACTACGTTGCTGCGGTATATGTTCGAACACGACTGCGCCTAACCGTGCAAGCAATCCGACACAAGGCTGGTGTATTAAGGTGGCTCGGAGTCCTAAGACCCTTTACATAAAATCGCCACAAGGACACGCTGTTGCACTTTGCGTCCCCACAATTCGATCAAATGAGAGGTCAAGCATTCTCCATCATTGCACAATTCATTTCTTCGACCATAATACGTTTCAAGGAGACAGCAACTCCTTCAAAATTAATGTTCGTAAGACAAAAGCTGTGATTTTTCGTCAAGAAAACAAGCCCATGGTGCTGTATAAAGCACTCACTTTTAGCTCGACTCCAATCGAAATTGTTAGTTGTTTTAAAACTCTTGGAGTCATTTTAGTGACAGTATGCCTTGGGATAGCCATATAAATTATCTTTTCCCAAAGTTAGCTCGAGTAGTGTGGATTATAAATCGATGCAGATCTGTGTTACCAACCAATGCTAAATTATTGCTTTATAAGTCATTAAGTTTCTCTCACTTAACGTATTGCCACTTTGTTCGGGGAACATCAACATTTACCAATATTGAAAACCTGTTCATGTTACAAAAAAAAACATCGGGATGTATATGCAACGTGCCACGTGACTTTCATAGCGCTGATTTATTTAAAAAGTTTCAAATAATCACTATTGACAAGTTATATCAATATCGGCTTTGTACTAGTTATAAAAGTGAAAAAAACAAGAGGTGCATGTCTTTTGAAAAACCTTGCGTCGCTGAGGGAAACTTCTCTGCCGTATCTTATACCCGTAACCCAGAGAAATGGAAGATGGTCACGCAGCCAACAAATTATGGCTCTCAAAATGATAAGTTCCATACTCCCGCATTTGTTAAACAGCCTTAGCAGCAATAACATTGATCTAGGAAGTCTAACCTTTAGAGACTTGCGCTGATTATATGCTTGTACGTGATCATTTTCTCTCTTAACATTTGCAAAAGATGCTTTTAGTTTTGGGCACTAATTTGTTACATCATCGCCTCTAGCACGCTATTATGTTGCTTTTTATTAGTCTTCCCGCACGCTTGCTGCTGGCCATTGTAGGGACTAAGGGACTCGTAAAGTCGATTATGCAAGTTTTTTTTTCTTGTGCCCCACAATCATAAAGGATGGAAATAAAGTATTATTATTCTTATTATTATTCACCGCCAAAATACTATTCCTCCTAGCATGAAGACGCCAGCCAGCATTTTAGCTCGGTTAACGTATTCCCCTTTCTAATAAACCAATTTTTTCCTTTGCAGGAGTGTTTAGCTAAATAACCGCTTAGGGAGATATATTTTGAATATTTTGTAATACTCTTCTAAGACAACCAATTCCCTCTTGCATGTTGAATAGCAGCATCATGAAGTACTTCGCTTAAATCTCCAACTTCGTGATTTCTGGTCATAGTAATTGTGACATAAACAAGCTCGGACGGCATACCGGAAACGGAGCCACCGGAAGTCTCTTGGGAGGCAAGAGACTGCCAAGTTTGAGAGCATAAAGAAGGTCTATGAGCCAGAAGATTGCAGCCGAACGGCGCAGGGTGCTCCAAGTGGCGCTACGGGTGGTGTAAAAAAACACACGCCGTTTCGAGCTAGAAACGCCTTATCACTGTAGGCGAAATACCCCCTTTCTAATATTTAGGTAAAATAAACTAAACTCACTAAGGAGGCTGAGAATGCAAGGAGGCCCGGCCTCAATCGCAGGCTTCCTACCTTTGATAACGCTTCGGAGTCTCTTGATCTCCAAGCATGCCCGGCCTGTCAAAGCAGGGCGAGAGGTATCGAGCGCGTGCTGGATGCCGGCGATCCAAAATAGAAGTTCTGCCGTTCATATTTTGTTTTAAAGAAAGCTGTGCTCGTATATATATATATATATATATATATATATATATATATATATAAAGCCTCGAAAACAACATTCACGAAGTCTGAGTCACGTAATGCCATTTTATGGCCTTATCGCGACCGCTCTGTCAGGCGTTTATCGCGGTTTGGGCGGCAACTAAGGCGTTCGCCTCGAAGTTACGAACGCTGTACTTCCGCGTTACCAGTGAAAGAAAGGATATGGATGCGTTCAATGAACACACGATAAGATATAAGATGGTAAAAGACTATGGCATCCAACCTATACTTCATGATTTGCGTAGGTTTTCTCAAAGGAAATCTGAAGAGGTTCTTAAAAAAAAAAAAGAGTTAAAAATGAATTTAGAGTATTTTATCCCGTTACACGAAAAAATTTCGAACTGTCGTTACGTCATAAAATTATATTTCGGCCACCAAGCGCGTGTCGCTCGTGTGGGATGCGCGTGCAATTGCAAGCTTGCCAGGCATATTCCCCGGCACTAGCACCAGTCAAGACGTCTTTTTCTGACCTTTTTGGAAATAGAAAGAGTGCTCGTGCATATCTTTGATGGGCGCGAGCTGATGATGCGCGAGAGCGGAAATTTCAAAAACTCCTTTTATGGCGTAACGCTCCGGGGAGAGGGGGCTTCAGCGATACTTTGAAAATTATTTTCTGCAACCTCCGTGCACCGAATTAAAAAAAAAAATAATAATAAACTTGATGTTCGTGATCCTGGAGGCCAAATGAAGACGATTAAAGTGTTTTTACTCAAATACAGAACCGCTTCAGTTTCTTTTTAAGAGGCAGGATGACTGAACTAGTTGGTAGGGGTTCCTCGAGATACAGCGCAAATGTTACACGTACGGAGGAACGACGTGGACTACACAAGCGCTGACTAACCACTGAGGGTTTATTCTGAACAAACCGCAAAAAAAAACAAAAAAACATTAAACAACACACGACTTCCGATGAAATGGCTCCTGCGCATCACAGATTCGGGTGCTATCGGTTATACAATTGCATGGGCGACCTTCCCCGATATAAATAAACATTCTACCTCACATGTCTATCAAAGCCAAGGAAGCCTGATTTACGCAGTTTGTGCTCTTTTTTTTTTTTCCTTTCTTTTTTTTTTTTTATTCTGTCAGCCTCTACAATCTCGCAATCTTCTTGGTCCCTGTGTTTGCACAACACGACGGCACTTTCTAATAAAGGTGTACATGTGCACATTTACTTTACTTTTCGCTTGTGTTTCTTGGACAAATCATGTAAATATATTCGTATTTTTATTAAAGGTACCGCTCTTGAGAACTAAAGATGAGCTTGAATTTGTATTCTACACTTGCCCATATCTAGGAGCGTTCGTTTGTGTAATCACTACGGCCCTTCTGCTAAAACAGGTCTGAACCCGATAAAATCTTTAAGATTATTGGACAGCAATGCCAATAACATAGCAACGGGAATATTCTATTACCATAAAGCTGTTGTATGAAAATAGCCTGATATAAACTTGGACAATATAACACAATGATATGGGAATGGGATATAAAAGTCTGATCAGGAAAATTTTATTAAATATTGGATCCGACAAAATCTGATGTAATACGGCACAATCTTGCATGCAATGAAAATTACAACACATGCTTTCTGAAACGGATAAAACTAAAAACAGCACACATAAAAACTAATATATAATACTCTGCCGCAAATACGGCTAGCTCATTTTAAACAAATAGCATGTATACTTTGAGCCACCCAATTGAAATGAGAAACTTTCTTAGATGATTTGTAAAATAAAAGTTCCACGACTTACACAAATTATATCAGCGTATAAGTTCTTCTAGCATCTTATGTTCTATGATCTAACAGTTTCATATAATTGTTTACTAGGAAATTTCGCAGTACGATACGAAACTATTACCATTAAAGATGTACAAGATGTGCGACTTGATTAAAATTTTCATGTCTGATGTCGTAGCTTGCGAAATGAATGAGATTTTTATCCGGCATTTATGTATGAAGGACTTGACTGAAGAGTTTTATAGTGAATCCCACCTCGCAAGCCTTCCGAAGAATTGCTCGGAAAGTCGTGCGGCGGGGTCGCCGTTCGACCAGACGGCCTTTGGCGACGTTTTTCAGTTGGCGCTTTCCCAGGAAAGCCGGGCTAAGGGAACTCCTGAGTCCTGACACATTTCTCCTATTGTTATCAAGGCAGCGGCGGGGATTCCGCGCACAACCTTGAAGGATGTTGGCACCCTAGCACTCTCCTTGCGAGCACGCTGCTTTCTTTTTTTCTAAGAAGCACGTGGACTTTCTGTGTCCAGCACAGCTGTTCTTAGGAGAAGCGGTCACTGAGAACGAGAAGAGGAAAGGAAAACTCGTGTGTTCGTAAATTGCTCTCTTTCTCGCAATGAGCAATTAAAATCACCGATGTCCATTAGGGAGCTAAATAGCGCATCGAGCAAACAGGTACGAAGCTCCATAAGTGAGCGTTTGACAGGCCTTTCGACGCTCCCGAGCGTTAGTAAGAACAGTGTCCAAGGTGCTGGATTCTTTTTCTTAATTTTTATGTAGAGAAAGCCTGTTTGTTGTCAAATACAAGCGCGTGCAGACCCGAGAAGTCTTCTGAGAAGCCATTTGATGCGTGAGCACTTAGATAGTTGATCAAATGGGCGTGTCTTAGTATCAAATGCCTCGTTTTTAAAATTTAATGTTAAATGATACTATAACAAAACCACTTAAAAGCGCAAGAGAGTGCGAACCAAAACATCGGCTGAATACACTAAGCGCAGTAGACGCCGTATTCTTAGGACAAGAGTTGAACTTCCGGGGGCTTCTTTCACGCCCTGCTTGGAGGGCCACTAAGCGTCATCCAGCCCCCAATAGTTGAGATCAGCGCTCAAAATTTTGGATTTTTTTTTATAATAATATATGTGTGTTTCCACATCATATCGTACAGTGATAGTTCGAGTCATATTTCTTTTTATAATAAAGCAAAAAATAGATGTGAAACCAAAGTTCTTCGAAGGACCATTGTAAGAACGCTGTAGCTTATTTGCTTCCAGAGATATATTTTGAAGCTCGAGTCGGGTAGAGTGCCAAGGTTTCACTTGGTACTTTGCACAGCCGTGAATTTCACACCTCAGCATGCATGTAGTAATAATTTTTTCTACTTATTTTATTACGGGTTTAAAACATTACGCAGAATAATTAAAATTATAAAAAAAAAACTTTATATGCAAAAAGAACTACGAAACACGTCAAGTAAACACGGTCTAGAGACATTGTCACAAATTATTTACAACCCAACTACTTACATAAAAAGGCACAAAATGTATCAATAAGTGCATCTTTAAGTGCATCTTACGAATATATAAGAATATATGCTTAGCCATTAGAGCAGTTGTGTTATTAAGGCAGAAAGGCAGCTGATTTTTAAAAATATAAAAGAAATTTGCACGTCATCTTTTATTTCCTTTAAACACTCCTTAATTCTCTGCCGTGTCTTGAATTAGCTTGTGATGGCAAACCATTGAGTTATTCTTCGCTCAAACTGAGTCAGCTATCCTTCATTATAGGGGCTTTGCCGCACGACGTTTCCTTCAAAGATACATTTTCTAGAACCGATACAGGCTGTACAGCGGTGCTGCTCTATCATGGGCCGTAGAAAGTCGTGCTCTCCCTAATTATTTTTTATATTTCTGTCTTCTTACGTTGTCTCCCAAAACACACTCCCTCCCCCTCTCCTCCTCTTCCCTCCTTTCAAAACGCGCGTAAATTGACTGTTCTTCTGGAGCGCCGTAACATGCTGCACATGCCTTATATCTAGGGTTCCGTGTTCTCGGATAAATCCAAAACAACTCTAGAAAACACTTGCCGGTAAAATTTTGGTCAATGCGGATTTATCCGATAAACTCCCAATTTTGATGTGCCAATGCCTCCCCCCTCCTTAAAAAAATAAATTAAGAAAAAATACCGTATGTTACAATTAAGTTCGATCATCGCACAAAGTCAATGGTCATGGGAAAATGCCACCACAGTTACCTTGCAAATCTCGGACGATTGTCAAAAGGGGTCTTACCTCATATCTCATCAAGGTTCATTCAGGACAACAATTAAGTCATTGTGCTTTGGGGTCATGACCAAAGCCATTGATCCGTTTTCCAGTTTGGGCAATACTAGTTGTGCTTTAGAGGAAGAGAGGTTGTGCTTTTCTAAAGTGAAAGCAATGGAGCATAAGCATTGCATAAAATAGAAAAGAGGGCAGCTGAAACTTCTGTATTACATCCTTTACCACTCCACCTTGCACGACCGCGGGGTAGTTTGATAGAAAAGGATGGGATGAATACGACATTCCCCGCGACTACCTCTGGGAGATTATTTATTTTAAGGCATCGACGTTTATCGAGACAACACTGATGTACCACGTTTCTCTCAGGACAAATTAGTGCTGCCAATGGCAATGGCACCAACTGCAATGGCACCAACTCAAAAAAATATTAATTTATACAGAGATTTTCCTTAAAACAAATAATGGTTCTTAAAGGGGCCCTGCAATCATATTTAAGCGTCTACCTTTTTTGCGGTTTCCACAGCGCTTAGGGGTCGGACAAGCCAGCGGGCACGAAGAGAGTAACTAAATGTCAGCGCGTCATATTTTAACCGGACGACACGGAAACCTCCTCCACCGACGAGGGCGAACCGCGGTACCGAAAGCGCGCAAAATGTGACGTTTTTGGTCCTGAGCTTACCACTGGTCAGAGCCGCTCAAAGCTTCTTTTTAGTCGAAATACAAAATATAAGTGGCGCGAAACGTTTCAATTATTTATAAAAGTAGTTTTTGTTCAGTATTTTAGATCAAAAAGAAACGAATGCCGCAACATAAAGTACGGAAAGAAGAAATGAACCGCCGACATACCCGCCACCAAGCGGTGGAAAAGGCGGCGCATACTAGAAAAGAGTAGTGGGATCAGGCGCCGACGCGGAAAGGTCCCGGATGTACGCAGCGGCGCTGCGGTCGTATGGGCAGGAGGATCCGACCGGCTCCGAGCGTTCCGAAAGCTTTCGGCGAGAAGCTTTGTCTCGCGGTTTGGCAATTTAACGGTATGGCAGCGCGAAGTAGCTCCCATTATGAACTGATCTTTACCCCGTGTTTGCTGTCGTTTGTGGCCAATGAAGTGTCATGCCGAATTAGTGTTTAATCGCGCAGCAAATGCAATGAGAGCCGCTCTGGCTGCCCGCTGCATACAGCCTATCCAGAACACGCTTTAACGGCGCCCTCTCGCGCCGTCGACACGGAGTGCGGCAGCCGTGGGCGCTCGATGAGCTCACTACTTCTTCTCTAGTTCACGGCCACTCTCAAGCAACCAAGGACGTCATGAGGGAGGTTATTTTTTGCTTGTTTTTGTAATTTTAATTTGCCTATAACTTTTAAAATAAAGGGAACTTCGAGAAAAGAAAAGTTTCACTAAGTTACTACGTTCAGTGCGCTCAGGTTCGGTGTAAATTAAAAATTAGTAAAAACGTCATTGCAGGGCCCCTTTAAGAGGAGCCGCAGGATGAAAAAGAAAGCAGTATTCCTGAAAAATATATTATAATTTTGTGTTTTAGGTGGTTCTGTTATTTTTGAATCTTTTTGTAGTTTATGTTTAAAAATAAAAAGGATAGAATATGATCCATAAATTAGTCAAATGAAAAAACCCCGGCGACACAGAAAGGCATAAATGAGTACCATTTTCCTGTGCACCGTTCCTTAAGTTGTGACGTCTCCCGCCATCACATGTAATCTTCAATGTAAGCCAAACCGTCTCGTCCTCATCATATTATACTGCAGCGTCAATTTTTTTACAAACAAAATGAAAAAAAAAATATTTTTTCTCTGCCACTAAAGGGCTAAAGAGTGTCGCTAACATCTATGAAGATATTCAAACACGTTTTGTATCTCTTTATTTAATTTTGGGACACCTTTACGGTTTGCGCACAATATTTTTTTAACATATACTGTGCTATCACAACCAATTTAAAATGCAACTAACGAGGTTTAATCGGCGAACTTCTGCCAGAAACAAAAAGAAAACACACGTCGAAAAAGCAGCAGCGAGTGTCTACGGCGGCAGCAGCGAGCGACGGTGCTGGCAAACGCGAGAGTGAATGCGCCTCGTCGTCGGGATAGTCTGAGCGAATCGGAAAATCAATCAATCAATCAATGTATTCCTCTTTCATCAGGAAAGATGGTAGCTGGGGCAAAAAGTTGCAACGCTTGCAGCCTGACAAGGCCCCCGCTTCAAGACAGCAACGCGCGTTGAGGGCTTTGTTCATAAAGTCAAATATAAAACTAAAAAATTCTTCAAGTTCAGAAGGGCACAAGAAAAAACAGTCGCAAGATTTGAATGTAAGATATAAAATCAGTTGACACAATACACATACAAAATGAAGCCTGAAGTTCACAACATCGACAATATCATCATTAAAGCTTCAAACGGTAAGCTATGGCTAAAATTTGTTTCAACATTCAGCTTGTTCAAAAAAAAAAAAAAGAAGTATGTATGTAATCGATGTCGCTCCATAGTTTGTTCAGGGGGTGGGTTCAATCCACTCTTCACTTCGCCGTGTGTTATTTAAGCTAGTATTTTTATTTCAATTTGCTATTTGTAGAAAACAACTATGTTTATCTTTTTGCTGTTTTATAAGATACTAGAAGGCGCTAGTAATGCGGGTGTGTTATTCTGACAACTTTAAAGCAGGCAAAAAGAGCATCTTTATGGTAAAAAAAGGACACATTTGCAACCCCTCTTAGAGTTTTTTTGTTTGTTTTTTGCAGGGTTAGAAGTTTGTTTATCTTTCGAATGGTAGTGGTACCCCATACCAGGGGACAATAATGGAGATATGACTGCACGAGGACGTGAAAAATTATTAACTTAACAAATGAGGTGAAAACTGTAGTGTATCGTGGTAGAGTAGGAGGAACTTCTCTGGATTGTTTATGTATGTATTGTATGTGCTCATTCCATGATAAATTATCTGAAAAGATTACACCTAATATCTTGAATGAATTTACTATCTCATTTGCTTCCTTGGCTATGGTGATATTTGGGTTAAAAAAGAACATTCGGCGTTTTTGGCTCGGAACAGCATGCACTTAGTTTTGTTTATGTTGATACGTAATCTATTTATTTGTGTGCAACTATGTAGCTGCGAGATCATACTATTCGCCCTTTTTCCGATATCGTCAAATGTAGTGCCTTTCAAAAATAATGTAATGTCATCGGTGAAAGCTATGACTGTGCAATGTGGAACACTGTTCAATATCATTAGAAAATAAACGAAACATTAGAGGACTTAAATCACTACCTTGAGGTACTCCTGTATGTACTGTTTTTATACTTGAAGCTGAATTATTGATTTGAGCAAATTGTCTCCGTTCAGCTAGGCATGACTTAAATAAATTGAATATATGACCCCGAATACTATAGCATTGTAACTTTTGTAGACGTATGCTGTAGTAAACTAAGTCATATTTGAAAGTCGATATATGTGGCTAATGTCAGTAGTTTATCTTCTATATTATTTATGATGACTTCTTTTTGATCCATTAGAGCGGATTCAGTAGACCTTCCTTTTCTGAAGCCGTGCTGACTGTTGGTTAAGAAGGAAACATTCTCTAAATATGGAGACAGTTTAATATGCAGTATTTTTCGAATCCTTTAGAAAAATTAGAAAGTATTGATGTGGCCTATAATTCCCCAATAAATTAATATCTCCACCCTTAAATAACAAAACAACCTTAGCGATTTGCATACGTTTAGGAAATACACCCAAAGGCATTGAAAGATTAAATATAAATGTTAGTGGTGTAGCCAATACGTCCAACCATATTTAATTGGTTTAATATTCAGGTCATTTACGTAATCTCTTTGCTATTTTTTATGCTTCGAAATGCCAACCATATTTCATTTTCATCAACTGGCTTTCACAAAAAATAATGCGTGTGTTTCTTAATATAACCGCATGGGTCTTTTCTATTTGTTATATTAGGAGAGCTGGTGGCTAAGTTTACCAAGTAATCATTGAAAATATTTGCGAGTGACGTGCCAGATAGCTTTTACCCACAGTCTACGATTTCTGCTAAGGCTTCTTTGTGATCATGAGGCTTTAATAACCGGTTAATATTTTTCCAAAGTTTATCTGGCTTATTCTTTTCTAATGTTACCAAATAGATTGCAATAGTATTCTTGCTTCGCTTTTTTTCAACAACGTATTCAGTTTGCGTCTATATGTCTCAAATTTTACTAGATCATGATTGTCTTTAGAATTTAGAAATTTATAATATGAATTTTTTATGATTTTTTTTTATAATTTCATGGGAAACCAATGGTTTCTTCGCTCTCTTGCTAGGCTTTATGGACTTATAAGGAAAGCATTTGTTATAAATGACTTATTAAGTTTCCAAAAATGTTTCATATGCTGCATCAGGTGAATCATTGGCATAAACAAGGTCCCAATTAGTGGTACCAATGTAGTCCTTAAATGACTGCAGTCTTTGCGATGTAATGTTAGGAATTCTGCGTTCTTCTGACCTGTGTTTGCGAGCTGCGAAGTGCGTGTTCAAAGCCACGGTCATCTCCTTATTTACTACATCCGGCTTCTCAAAGATTCGGCCTGGAATGTTTGGGAGTGAGCTAGGGCGAGACTGACTAGGCAAGGTCCTTTAAAAGTGCATCATCCCGATGCAACCTTAAATAAATTAACAAAGACCTACACCAAATAACAGCTAACAGTAAACCGCGGGGTAGTCTGAACCATGAATAATCATTAGTCCTATCGAGCATGGCGAATGACGTGCACTACTTTGGGTCTCGGCTGGTGGCGTCCTGGTGGTCGGATTTCGTCGGGGAGCACCTCATAGTTCAGATCACGAGGGCGGCGAATAACCTTTAGGGTCATCTCACGGCGTCATCAATTTTCGAAGGCGGCAAGAGAGCTTCGCGTTCAAAACGAAATAGTCCGCTCCGGTGTCGATGAGCTTCATCGCGTCGTGGCCGTCGATGATAGCGCCGAGGTTATTCGACACCGTCGCGGAAGCGTCGTTCCGATGCTTCTTGTCGCTGTAATGTGGGAGCCCCTCGACATTTTTGGAGGATGTTCGCTAATTCCGTCCATAGGGTAACACCACCTCCAAGGGTTGCCGCTCTTAGTTGGCCAACGAGGAGGTAGAGGCGACGGGTTGACTCGGTGAGACCGCCGGAAGGGTGATGATGGACAGCGGGGTTGAGGCCGAACGACATCCACGGCGGGGAGACAGCTCAGAAGATGTCGAGCGGCGTAAGTAGTTCTCGATGCCCCGAGGTCGCTCCCCAAGCAGTGGTCGAGCGTCACTGGGCGCAAACCCTGGCAGGCTCAGCTGGCGTTAAAGGCATCGTCTGTAAACGTGGTCGGCTTCCCCGCAGTGGTAGGACAACGGGCGTCGCGGGCAGCCGTTCTCCAGACTTCCGTCTTTCTTGGCACCAACTATTCTTGGCGGACGTACTGGGGTCGTTCCTCTTGGCGTCGAGCGTACCGCGGGCGTACCGACAGCTAATTGGCCCGAATGAACGTGAAATTTACTTGTTACTTTGTGTTAGCAAGTTTTTACTAAGATAGGACAAGAGCCTCCTGAAATATTTTCACACTACAAATTCACTGACAAGCATAGTGTTAATTCGGGACACATTACATTATTTCACTTGAGGAGACTGATTTTTGACGACTACGTAAAACAGCCTTGTGCCTTGCCAAATCGTGCACGATGCCCAGATATACTCGTATGAAAGGTAGATCTGCATGCATGCGAGTCCACAGAAATATAAGTATTGTCTTGGGTCGCTGTCAATTACGTTTTTTTTACGTACAGTGAGAAGGAGAAACTTGAATGTACTGTCCCCTGCAATATGAAAGACCCACTGGGAGCACGTTTCCGAGACG